CACTTTCATCTCTCAAGTTTTCTGGGTCATCACGTTTCTCAGTTTCGCTTTTCTCACACAATTCTACACGGAAATTCACTTATTGTCATCTGGGTACTGGTAAATTCTCTATCTTTTTCATTTTCACCTCTCAATTTTGAACCCCTTTTTCGTATTTTTGCTATACCCATTTCGTATTTTTTTTCAATTTATGACCAATTTTTTGTGTACCCATTTGGTGTTTTTTTGAAGTATAGTATGTGGACCAGAGTACTAGTAAATTGCACAAAGGAAATGTTGTATGCTGGTTGGATTTGGAGGTTAAAGAAGTTGTTTTAATGCTAGTGAAATAGATTTTTCTTCATTTGTGTGTGTGTTGAACATGGAAATGAGATTCTGGTATATTGCTGAAATAGATGTACCATTTGTTATTGAATTGTCTGTATAAAGTGGTATTGGTTTATTGACATATAGTAGTTATCTGTGTTTCGGGTAGTGAATGTTTTTTACTTCGTTACAGGCAAAGATATTTTCCATAGAAATTGAGTACTAATATCATTTGTATGCAGTCTACTTTAGAAATATCTTAACTTGTAGTCGTATTGTTTATGCTAGTTGTACATAGCTAATATGGTTTACTACCTTTCTGTTTCCCATTGGATTGAGGACATCATGGCAAATGACTTTAACAGAGGGTCTAGTTGTTAAAAGTCTCATCTTTTATCGCTGGTTCTTATTTTATTAAAGAGCACCATTTTCTGGGGTTAGAGTTATCCTGGAGGGGATTGAGTTTCGAGTTGCTTTTATTTAAAAGTTCTCTGGTTTCTACTTTTTAGACAGCATATTTGTCGACTGAATCTTACATGCCTCAATTTACTTAACTTAGGCTGTTATTTAGTTAGTTAAAAAATGACTCCTCCATGCATTAATAAGCAACTACCCCACACTCACCGTATGAACACCTCCCTTAGATGAATGGGAAACATGTGTTGCAGTAAATTAGAAAGGTTGGTGCTGTAGATTTCTGTTTCAAGTTGTATTCTCCAACTCTTCCATTTACTTTAATTCTTCAGGACAGAGACTCATTGACTGCCTCAGATAGCTTGCGTTAATTTCTATTATGATTTGTTCGCCAGTATACCAGTTAATGTCGTCCATTTGTATGCTATTGGTGGAAATTGTTGCTTATGTCTGTTGACCTTCAGAGACTACTGTTTCCCAGGATGTTAGTGTGTTCATCTGTTCGTAAGAGAGTTTCTTACTTGGTGATATTGTTGGTTAAGCAGCGGTTCCCCAGTTGCAGTCTTTTGGCCTAAAAGCTTCTAAGCTATTAAGAGAAAAAGGAGGCAGTTTGTCAATCAGTGCTGCCGGAAATATGGCACATGCAAGCACTACTGCTACCCAAGAAAATGTACTGGAGTGGGTCAAACAGGACAAGAGAAGAATGCTCCATGTTGTTTACCGTGTTGGAGACCTTGACAGAACAATAAAGTACAAATATCTTGACACTCCATATTTTTCTTGTCTAATTCTGTTTAATTGTCATGGTCATCTTTTCTCTTACCCTCTCTTTTCACTTTCTGTAATTGTGTGCAGATTCTATACAGAGTGCCTAGGGATGAAATTATTGAGAAAGCGTGACATCCCCGAGGAAAGATACACAAATGCATTTCTAGGATATGGACCAGAGGACTCTCATTTTGTAATTGAACTCACATATAGTAAGTTACTTCCTATCCATATCACTATGCCATTGCCTTTCATTTCTTGACACAACTCAAATGTTTAAAGTTGCTTTAGAATTTAATGATCTCTTTTCTAAGCTCCTTGTCATGAATCTAATGTTTTAGTTTTATGGCTTTGCCAGATTATGGAGTTGACCAGTATGATATTGGATCTGGATTTGGTCATTTTGGAATTGCTGTAGAGGATGTAAGTTTTTTATAAGGTGTTATATAAGCGTGAAAGAAATTTACATAGAACAGAACAGAATTTTCAGCACATTATTTTCTTTACCATTTCAATTTTTTGTATATAGAACATGTGATCTTGCATATCTATAAGGCCCTTTCTTTACTTAACTGTTATTGCATTTTGTGTTTGTTCTCTGCAATTCATGTGTATTACCTGCATAACCCTGTTCGTCAGTATTCATATTTTGCATCTTTGACAATTTTCTTGCGCATATTACTTGAGAACTTACCAGCTTGTGGGGGTGTGCATTAGGTTTCAAAGACGGTTGAACTCATTAAGGCTAAGGGAGGAAAAGTAACCAGGGAACCAGGTGCCGTTAAAGGGGGAAAGACTGTAATTGCATTTATTGAAGATCCTGATGGTTACAAGTTTGAACTTTTGGAGAGGGGTCCAACACCCGAACCCCTATGCCAAGTAATGCTTCGAGTCGGAGATCTTGAACGTGCCATAAGTTTTTATGAGAACGTAAGTTACTGTGACTTCATAAGCACTGTTGCTATTGTGTTTACTGTTAGTGAAGATCTCTTATTAGCTCTACTGCAAGGATCAGTTGTTAGCCACAAATTCACTGTACATTGTTTCATCTTCAGGCTTATGGAATGAAGCTTCTTCGCACACGTGACAACCCAGAATACAAGGTAATATGTGAACTTTTAAAAAAAAAAAACAGTCAACATATCTAATGAAATCATTTCAAGTGTAGGAAGCCAAAATACTTATTGCTAAGTCAGTGGGATGCATGTGTAACTTTATTGTTTGTTATTTAAGTGCTAGCATGATGGAGATAGGTTGACTATCTTATCCCGAAGAAGAAAAAATAGTGGAGATGGTTAACTTTCTGATGCAATTCCATATGTTTTGGTGTTTGGTTTATGAAATGGCAGTTACAGATGTGGCTGGATGAAATGAAAATGATTACTTGCATCACACCCGTCTCCTAATAGAAAATCGGATTTTGAGACTTACTCGTAGCATTGCTAAAATATGACTCCCTATTAGACCAACTTTTTGTGCAAACATGCTATTTTGTCCTATTGAATGTGCATTATCCAAAGTTCTTTTGTAGTAGTACTTCAATTTGACTACTTGTACATGATCTAATACTTTTCCCTATTGAACTAACTATCTATTCTGATTAGTTTGTTATTCTCGTTCATGGTGATGGAAACTTTTAACGTTATAGATGTTTTATCACTTTGAGACTGGTACTTGCAGATGCACTGAGAATGACAAGTGTTGCTTAAGTAAATCGTTGAGAAAATGTTTTCTGGCAATTGTAGAAATATATACGTCTAGGTGATTGCATTTATTTAGTTATACTTGCATCTCAATAAATTTAAAAAATCAAGTTGGCTTATTTACTATTTGAAGAGTCAATAATTTTTACTTGACTATGATTTACTCCAACAAAAGTTTAGTATTTGTTAAATCTGAAATTTATAGGCACTGTGCTTCAGTTTATGGATCATTTTGAGCATTAAGAAAAGTTTGATTTGTGGCTTGATTCGAAGTGACTTCCGTCAAACTAAATAAGCATATAATATAGAAGACATTCGATGGAAATCACATTGTGTATTATTATACAGAATAGTCTTACCAAGCTGTTACGAATTTGCAGTATACAATAGCAATGCTGGGATATGGTCCAGAAGACACGAGCGCTGTGATGGAGTTGACATATAATTATGGCGTCACTGAATATGAAAAGGGAAATGCCTATGCACAGGTAGTACTTCATAGATCGGTAGTAGTGTGCCACATGTTATCTTGGTTGCATACCATCACGGTATGCCCCTTGCGTCTTAGTTCACTAACTTATACATATCCCAACAGATAGCTATAGGCACTGATGACGTGTACAAGACAGCAGAAGCAATAAAGCTTTGTGGTGGAAAAATTACCAGGGAGCCAGGACCTCTACCTGGAATCAGCACGAAGATTACAGCATGCCTCGACCCTGATGGTTGGAAGACGGTAATTCTATTAACATTACAACTACGTGTTTTCCCCTAGTGCCCTCATCGTAGGTTTTAAACTCTTGTTAAATTTGCAAGTTAATAACATCTCCGGAAAACATGCAGGTTTTCGTTGACAATATAGATTTTCTCAAGGAATTGGAGTAAACTATTACTCAAAATACCAGGCATACACGGAACATCTCAAGGACATTGATGCTTCATCAAATTACATCCTCGCCAAAACGATACAAGGAGACTACCACGGAAAAGAGCGTTAGATTGTGCATTTGTGGACTGTATTACAGAAATTGTCGCTTCACCAGAGCATTAGAAGAATAGAAGCATGAAAATCGTACATCTTCGTGCCTTTTGTAATAAGTTTGTTGATCTTATTTATGCTGCCCTTTCTTACAGGGAAAACTCAGCAAAGTAGAGAAGCAAATAAATCAATAGTTCAGAAAAAAATACTATAGTTGGGACTGAGTTGTTGTGTATTTCCATTATATCTAACATCCCTAATTTGATTTTGTTCAGTGAACTCTTTTCTTCTAGTTGGACAATAGGTACTGAGGATCAGTCAGTTGCCAATTGCATATTCCATTGTTGTAAAAAATGTCCAATCAAATAGTTTCTTGAGTCGAAAGTCTATCGAAAACAATCTTTACTTTCATAAGATAGGTAAGGCTGTGAACACCCCACACTCCCTAGACCCGACTTGAAAGATTAGATTTAGTGTAGTATGTTCTTGTTGTTAAACATCCAAACAGTTTCTTGAGCCGAGAGTCTATCGGAGACGAGCCTCTCTACCTTCATAAGGTCAATCGTCACCTCACTTGTGAGATTACATTGGACATATCGTCATCAAAGCTATTGTACACATCACCCCACTTGTGAGATTACATTGGGTATATTGTCATTATCGAAGCAAAACATTCAACCACTCGTGAGATTACATTGGGTATCTCGTCATTATCGAAACAAAACATCCAAACAGTAACATAATCTTGATGCAAAATATAAACTAACAACTTTCATAAAAACTAAAATTATATTTTTTTTCATATATATATGGGGAAAATTCATCTTTGTCCTCTTTAATAGTAAAGAAGCAAACAAAATTTAGAACCATCCCATTCAGATTATAATCAACTAATAAAAAACTAAACAATTCTAATCAATCACTAATCACTAATGATTAATCTATTTACCATTTTTAAATGTTCTTCGTCTTCCTTTCACCATGTTAGAGCAAAACAGAGCTCACCAGTTCGACTATGGCGAAACATCCAACCAGTAACACGATCACTTTCCTTCAATCCATGTTCTTGAACAAACTGTTTCCAGCTTCCTAAGAGGAGATAAGTTTTGTGATTCCCCCAAGTTTTGAATATCATGTTGCAATATTTACCCATTGGATCAAAAGTTTTAACACTGATACCAGTAGTAAGATCTTCAGATTTTTCATTCAACAATGGGAGAAGTTGTTTCCTTACATATTCATTGTTGAGTAAGAGCCTACCTTGATGTTCATCCACATCGGAATTCGTCAATTGCTTCACAAATGGGTTACTGCATTGTCCAATTAGGGTTCTTAAATTCTCAATTGGGGGGAATTTTGGTAAAGACCCAGGTAAATTCGAAGGCAAAGTACGACCCCTTTTTGGAACTGGATTGGAATTTCTAGAACTAGAAGCAGCTTCACGGCCATTAAAATTGCTCGACAGTCGAACCCTTTTTGGGTTTCCAGCACCAGAAGCAGAAGGTGAATTTTTCACACTTTTCGAAATTTGAAGTTCTGGGGTTTCATTTTTGTTGATTCTTCGAAGCTTTCTCTTCGATTTCTCCACAATTTTAGGCTCTACAGGGACGTACTTCAACCAAGAAAGAAGCAATGCGGCTTCAATATCTTCCTTTTCTAGTTTCACCATGATTTGAATCTTGAAACCCTATGAAAAATTCATTTTTGGAAGAAGTAGACGAAGTATATTACTTGTAGAGCAAGTTTATGCTCAATTTTAGTCGTATTATAACTCTACTATTTTTGGAATATTTTTTAGAGAGTTCCACCATTATTTGAATGCTAAATTTTAATCGTATTATTTATTTTTAGAGTAAGAGGGGTGGGCCCACATGGACCCCAACTAATATTAGGATTTATTTTATTTGTAATCCAATAAATCAAATATTTACCATCATCCAATAATCATCATTATTTAATTCATTATATTATAGTTATTAATATATATCTCGGAATAGATGGTATTATTAGTTGAATACCTAGGCATCTAAGGTCATGCTTAGAGCCGTCATATGAGTTAAGACTCGTTGGGTCGGTCTGGCCTAATCCGTGATTTGATAGGGTTGGATTACAATTTTTGGAACTCATTTAAGAATAAAGTTTTTTAGCTCGGTCTGAATTTGTGGGGCTTAATCGAACTGAACCAACAAATTATATACATATATTTTATAATTATTACCTACATAAATATATATTTTTTATTAAACAATTTTAAATATCTTATATATGTTCTCATCAAAATTTATTTATGAAAGCAAAAACGCCCAATACAAGAGCATTTATCTTATTGATTTTACGTATATGTGTCTATAGCGTTCTTGGTTGGACTAGACATACTTCTACCAAGTCTATCACTTTTAACCTTTATGACTTTAAAACGTGTCACTAAATTTAAAATTTACTTTTTTATATACTGAACGTTTCTTTGTATTTTGTTGACTATCGAATTTGATTAAAATGTTATATGTATCCTTACAGATTCAACGTTCTCTCGTCCTATATTTTTTCTAGGAATTGGAGTAAGCTACGTACTATACCGTATATATTCTATTTGTAGTCCAATAAACTAAATATAGAGCATAATTTTTGCTAATACAAACGATTCCTTAGTCCCTGTTCATACAATACTAAAAGAACAAAACTTATACTGCACAAGACATTAATAACAAGTGATTAACACTAATGAAAGTGATTAACAACTAATCAAAGATGAATCAAAAAAATATACACACTATAAGAAAAGTGTTGATTACCTGGGGATTTTCCTAGGGATAATACAGTAAATCCGCAGGTAATTTGATTACGTGCGAATTTTCTTGCAAAATGAAATCCGATGGAAAAACCTTCGTAGGTAACTCTTACCTGGGGATTTATACAATCCCTAGGTAATTTACCTGGGGAATTTAAATCCGCAGCTGTATTACTTGCGGATTTATCTGCATAACTAACGAAAATTCTTGCGAATTTTTTGCTAAAATTTCTTATAAAAACGAAATTTCTTGCAGATTTTCATAGAAATATTTCGCAAGTGATTCCCATGAAGATCCCCAAGTAAATCCATAGGAGTTTGGAAATGAAATTTTTTGAAACAAAAGGAAATTTCTTGCGGATATATATGAAAGTATTGCTCAAGATAATTCCAATGAAAAGAAACCTGCAAGAACCAACAAAAAACACAATTCATGTTATATCACTTCATTCAACAAAAAAACAGAATTCATAATTCATAATTCATAATTCATAATTCCTATGAAAATAAACCTGCAAGATCAATAGTATATGATTCTTAAACATACAAAAATAAAATACAACTCAAATTTGAATCCTAAATAGTACCATCAACTATCTCAATCCCCATTTGAAGATGATGCGCTATAATGGGCAGAACCACTGTCATTCACGTTATCATGGGCAGAACCACTATCATTCACGCTATCAGAGTCATCACCACTTTCTTTCACATAAGCTTGATTGTCTTCTTGAGATGATTGCTCATTTGAAGATGATGTGTTGTAAACATGTTTCTTCAATAAGTCCAATTCCCTCCTCATCCTCTTATTTTTGTGACACTCTTTCTGCAGTTGAGCATATAAGTCGGCATTGGAAGCATTTACCTGAGTTTTAATCATCTCATCAATTTCTCTCGATAAAGCTGATGTTGATTGTTTAGACGATGACTTTACAGATCGACCCAGGGATCCAAGACCTTTAACTCTTCCTTTTTTCTTTCCACCAACAGATTGCACCCAGATATCCATTTCTGTTAATTGAGAAGGTTGACCAGCTAAATTAGTTTCTCCTTCCGCAACTGATGCACTTTGAGAAGCTAATAATTCTTGTTTCTTTCTTTCAAAAGTATTCTGCATCAAAACAAGTTATTTGAGACAATATTTAAAGGCAAATCTCTAGCTCTCACTATTAACTGGCAACTATCAAAAGCAATATACTTGTCAACATTGATATTAACAAATAAAATATGATTACATAATGCATATACTAGCATGGCATTTTCTGTAGAGTACTGCCAACTTCTTATTCTGTGTACTTGGAAGTAAAAGTGTCGAGATGTTCTTCACTTATGATTGCTTTCACTTGGAAGACAACTACATCTACCACTAGTATCAAATAATTATAGTAGAACGGGGTCACAAGGAAGACAATTCTAGTTTTCCAAACAGTTGGAAAATAAGGCAATTTTTCTCATATTTATTGGTTCAAAGAACTTTAAGTTTATCAGCAAGATCATTTCATTTCTAAAAAGCCGCAGTGTCTGGGCCACCTGCCGCGCACACCTTCCTTATTTCATCGGGTACTTGCTACCTCCCACCATTTTAAGTACCGAAGAAATCACCTAGCACTTTGTCTCTGCTGGAATTTTCACCCTGGTTTTCAATGGTTTTCATTCACCGCTAGGCCACAATACTAATTGGCTACAACAAGATCATTCCATCTTCTTACCAAGATATTTAACACAACTTAAAATAAAATATTTAATCTACAAAAGAATAGAGCGAACGAATACTTACATAAGCAGTTTCAGCTTTCTCATTTACCCAACTTTTATCATTTTTCTTGCGATGAGTTCGAAAATAAAATTCTGAAATTGATGGATCCTTTCCAGTAGATTATTTCTATAATGAAGGAAGATATTTGTGTTATCAATGTTGAGTATGATG